CCGCGATTCACCACACCCTTCGGGGTCAATTAGGCGTCCTCGAGTTGGGGGTATAATACCTGCATCGTATTACACCCCACGTCAAAGACCTCGGTGAGAAAAGGTGGCCGGTGGTGCAAAGTAGACACGATCTGCAAACAATAATTGGATTTTCCTTGCCGGAGGAACAGCAAAATGGCACATTTCTTCACCACGGAAGATTCTATCTTCGCGTGCAATTAAATTAACAGGCTCTGATTCAGCGCATTGCACAAATTAAGATTATCGAGTATAGCACTTAGATCATGCTATTGTCTTAAACTCCTACATAGTGGTATCTTAAATTATACGAAATTATAAAAGAAACTTAATACAGTCGTTACCAACAGGAAGTTCTATCGTAGAAAACTTCCTTTGGTACGAAATAAAATCATTTCAGATTGAAACGTCGTTCGCAATGTTAGTAGGAAACATTTTGAAAAGTAGAGATGGAACGAAAATCTGTTCGGCAATTGGACACGAGCGACAATTAATCTTGAAAGGAAAGAGTTACGAAGTCGTGAGTAGCATCTCGAAGGGTTGGTCCTTTCAATATCGAGGGATGAAATCGACGTAATGGCGGTGCAACCCTTTGACCAGATGTGCGGTACAATAGTCGTCACGAAAAGTCCAATGACAATGTTATCTCGATCTACTTTCTTTCATGGGGTCATGTCAGAGATTGAGTCGTCAGCATCGGGGATGCTGGTTGTTGGGGTTGCTCGAGATCGAACGATAACAGAGGAACTCGATTCTTTGCCTTCTTTTTACTCCTAATTCATTTCAATGATTCGATAAACAGATTAAAAAATCTGAAAAACGTATCCGTTTATAAAAGCTATGCAGAAATTACTAAAATTGAGAGTTAAACTCTAAAAATTTTTAAGTAAAAAGAGGTTCGTCATCCAAGAGTTAAAGAAGTCTCGAAGCAACCGAAGCGCATCATTGAACAGTCTTTTGCTCGAGGTTGAAAGGGTTTGTTCGTACGAACAGGATAATAAATTGCTGTTCGTTTTTGACTGGACGCTTAAGGTATCGGCACAAAAAGCAGTGGTTTGGCTTCCGGGGAAAAAAGCAAACAATCAGGGCTAAGCTACCCTCGGAACTTTTTCTTGTCCGCCTTAGAGTCAATAGGAGAGAGGATATTTTGGTCACTAATTCCGTGCCTAAACGTAGGGTAGCCATGAGAGGAACCGGTCTTCTACTACGGTGCGGTACGAGTTCCTCGAGAAGTCCTCTGCTCTCGTCCTTGGCTTCTTCGATTCGATTTCCATCGATGTTTGCACAGCTCCGCAATGTTTTACCGTCCGTATGCAAAAAGGCCAACCGAGAGGAACAAGAGGGAGACAAAACGATGGACGCAGAGAGGGTTGGAAAAACGAATCAGGTTTACGAGTCGATGGTTCGAGGATTCTCTCGGAACTGCTTGCGAGGATGCAGAAGAAGACGAGCGACAGAAAATCGTAATGATCGACAAAAGGCTCGGAAGGCACCATGGCGTGCAGTCACGTAGACAAGGCGAGTTTTCGCACCCCTTTCTCACGCGACACCTCGCGTTCTTCGGAGGATTCATCATTGTGGACCCCATGAGGTCCTCTCAGGGGTTCGTGCATCGCTGACCCGTAGCTTCTTCTTTTACGGGAAATCTGGATTTCGTTTGCTCGCGTCGCATTTACCTGTGACACTCAGCTACCCTCGATTAATTCACAATTACTTCGATGTACGAATCTATTAAAATACTGAGTCAGAATTTGATTCCATTTACGAGTACGACTTAATTGCCGTCAATCAACAATATGTTGACTCATCCACTTTAATACGGTAATCGGAAATTGTGATATAATATACCGTGGTCAAAAGTTAAATATACATATATACTAAACATAGCGATGTTTGAACAGTCTTACTGATGAACTAATAATTATCACGCACGAATCCTGTTGATCGGTATCGTTAATAATACGGTTTTCCCGTTCGGTGAATTTTGTGTTCGATCAAAGAAGTATAAATTTGTGTAACAACGTCTTTGTCCTGGTTCTGGCAACAAATTCGCCTGATTCATATGACGAGCAACCTGATGCTTTTGAACACAGAATGGCCTTCTACTTACACATCTATTGTCATGATAATATTGATCACGCGAACATAAACCTACCTGAGCAGCGATATTTTTGCTACTTTATCGGTGTAATTTCGTAACGGTATAGCAGGGGCAGCGTTGACCCATTGGATTCGAAGAAATTCGACTCGAATCGCAACCCTTGGACCGGGCTACCCGGTCGAAAAAGCCTGGAGTCTTGATTTATGAGAGCCGGCATCAATTGTCTGCAACTATGTGGCTACCCCTTTAACGCCGCTTTCGTCACTCCCTCCGAGTGTGTTCAATCGTACGATACCTGAGGGTAGAACAGCTTGGAACGTACGATTCTACGGGTTACTTCCGTCTCCGATGTACGTGTTTGCCGGAGGGAGACCTCTTGGGAACGATATATTTTTCGCTTTTTTGCGTCTTGTTTAACCTTAAAGATAATCTTGGAAGATTCGTGACTTCCACATTATTCGGTAAATATTTTTGTTTCGACTATTTACGACACTTCAATTACGAAGATGAATAAATGTCGACGAATTATATCGCATCGAAAATCGATGATATCGTTAACTTAACAAACCTGTTGCTCGGTATTAGCCGTGAACGCGATAAAGGCTGCGTCCATGGATGCAAGGAAATCTGCCGTTGAAACCTAATCGATTTCCATGCAGCCTAGTTACTCGCAACGGTTGCTCTAATGATCATAGTAATAGCCTTCTAAACTGGCAATACGTATGCAAAGAGGTAGAATGGTGAGTCGTACAGTGCGAAAGTCAGTTAATTTTAACCCCGCTGTGAGCTGTTGCTGCAGCCAGCAGCCCGCTGTTTGTATGGAAATTTACCGGTCGGAAAATGACCGTGTCGAAAGGCTCTAGGAACAGGGGCTTCTTCGTTGGTACCACGTACTTTCGCTTTGCTTTCTTCCCAGTAATTTGCCGAGCAAATTATCGGGACCAGCGATCGTGTCAAACTGTTTAGAAAGGGTTGTGGCCAACGGTCACGGTTACGTATGCAAAATATATTTTCGGTAATGAACGTTAAGCTTCCTCGTGGAACGATTATTTTATGCTATGGACGGCTATAGTCGCTCGATATAAAAACCTTATGAAATATTAGGAGGATTATGGACATCTTAAACTCTTGGTTTGTTAGCAACTCTCTGCTGGAAGTTCGTTATTGGATCGATAATCAGAGAACCGCGTTTCCGCCCTGTTGGAAAACGACGATGCACGTGGTTTGTTATTGTTTATGGAACGGTATTCAGCGTTGGGGTTGACACGGCGGTTTCCTTCGAGCAGGAACATTTGCTTTGCGGCGAGAAGCCGACATCTGTCAAACGTTCCTACGCTTTTTTCTTTCAGATTCTACTTTCCCGACTCCTGAACGAGCACCAAAGTACTCTCGAGCTGTTGGTTCGAGTCAAGAGAGGAGGAGGGCTTTTCTTTTCCTCTCGATCGATCGTGTGACCCAGCCGATTCGCTTTTTTTTTCTTTCCTTCCTCTCGCGCACAATTCGAGCGCATTATGCCGGCGAAACAATGGCACAAAGGTCCTGCAGGGCTCGCGCGTCGAGCACAGGATCTCGGCGAACAGCTGGCACGATTTTTACTGAAATTTTTACAGTATCCGTGCGTTCAGGAATCGTTGAAATACTCCAAATATAATACCGGTATTTTATTAATTACCGAACGAGTCGACTTTCTCTCGAGCGAGAGAATTTCTGTGAATCGTACGTTGAAGTTTCTTGCAGCCTTCGATTAACATCTGCCCAATATTTTCGCGTCAAGTCATTTGTCATACGGTCACGGTGCATTCAGCCACCGCTCGTTGCGAAAGCTTTGTCGTGCCAGAAGAATAAGAACGATTCATTTTTCCAGCTTCGATGAGATTCGACGATTATATTAAAGACGCTCGGTAGCTCAGCATGGGACGCGCCGTGGGCTAAACTTCAACTACATGGGGGTGTGGAACATGCGGGCACGTAATTCGAAACTTTTCAACGACACCCGTCGGTTTTCCCTTTGAAAGCTTGCCATTCGTTTCCTCGGTTCCTTCCGTTGTCGAACGATCGATCAAACTTTTATGTGGATCCATTATTAACCCTCCCATTTTGACCCAGCTACAAAAATAAATCCTTGCGGTGAGAATGTGAACTTGTGCGTTGAAACGTGCCGCTTGAACCGCTGTCGATTATGCAACGTAACGCAGTTATTCGGCTCTAATTAAGGAAGTAAACGAGTTATTGTTCCCGTGGATGAGAACGTTAATGGTTGAGGAAAGAAAAGGCGTGCCTATAGATTGCTGCTAGCCTGGTCGGTTAGAAACATGAAATTTGTAGCTGTGGCCACGTGTGCTATTTCGCTAGTAATTACTAATTCATAATTAATCTCCGCTTACCGTGTTGGAAACCACGGATGGACAACTGTGGCCCCGAGGGTACGCGAACCTGCAAATCACGTGCATAATAGCCAACTTCCCAATTTAAAAATTAAATGACAAATTTCCGAGTGTTCCATGCGATATCCAAACTCTCTGATCCCCGATTAGATACGAATGGAGAAGCAACAGAAGATCCTGAGAATGTCAGGACCCTTCGAACTCGATAATTTCTAGGGTAAACAGCAGCATTGTCCTCCGTTTCGTGTGTTCTTCGTCGATAGGGATGCCAGGACCCTCTTCGATCATCGATCATTTCTTCGTAGCAGAATAAACGATGCCATAACGGTTGCACTTCCTCGTTCTTCATCGTTGAATCCTTACGAACTCCTGAATCGAACGTCTGCTAATAACGACATCGTGGCTAGTCATCGTCAACGTTAGGACCTTTTTTTGTTCCGTCCACAAAATTTGTTCGACCAAAAGGACAGTGGCAAATCGATATCCTTTCTGCTCACCTTTCTTCTTCCCCCTAAGTGTGCGCTGTTTGCACGCTGGCTCCTTTCTTTCCGCCACGTCATTTTCTTCACTTTCGACCCGACGTTTCTGAATCCCCGACACGTTTCCGACACAGAAGGGTAACTGAATGTTTACCCGTGAGTCATAGTCTATTCACGGCCCTCCTTTCTCCTGGCAACGATAAAAATTCACGGTATAAATAGATAAGGGCAATTAATCGCGCTAAAACCGCGCATCAACTTGTGGCGGAAAGTGCCTTTGATTTTCCAAGTGTCTCGATACTTCACGCTCGATATTTAAGTGGAGATTCTTTTCTTGCTTCGACTTTAACAAAAATTATTGTTCTCCTGAGTTCTAACATCATTTTGGATCGTGTAGAGCGAAATGAAGTGTTCGGTATAAATATAGAACTCGTATTTCTGCTCGTCGTTTCGTACACGTAAGGCAGAAAGAAGTATCGACAAATTGATAGGTCTCCCTGGAAAAGTGAACATTCCCACGGCATTCCTCGGTTCGTTTGCGAGGAAATTTCGCGTTCAATTAAGCAAGTTTCGCGCTACTGGTAGACGTTTGAACCGAATGTAGCTGGAGGGACGAGAGAAACCGACGAGGAAACACGTGTCGTTCCATGAATGCTTCTTCTGTCTTCTCGTATCCGTTACTCTTGCTCTCGTCTCCTCTTTTCTTCTTTCTTTTTCTACTATCTCCTCGACGCCCACGAATCGCGTCGTCTCGAACAAAGTGCGACGAGAAAAAATATGGAGCGCAAGATCAAACGAAGCGGACGAGAATTCGAGACGGTGTTCCGGGAGAACGATAATTGCGTTACGTTGAATTACTGATAGCGACGCAAACGGCTTGTGGGAAACATCGGAGCATTTTCTGATAGAATATTCTGTAACGTTTGTGACTGTGAAAAATTCGTCGACGTTCAAAATTTATTCGAATCCGTGTCTATAGAAATTCACCGACGATTTCTCCGACAGAGAAGTCGCAGCAGAATAACCCTTTAACGAGACGAAAGTTTCAGCAACGTACTTTTGTTTAATCACCGTCACGGCCGATAGGTTTACTGCAATTTCTCGGTTGATTATCACTCTCGATTGTTCGTCCTCATTGTGAAGCTTTTCTAACAATAGCCTTTGTCCTTCGTCGAACAATCCTCGGTTATTTACGAAGAATTTTCCGTTTTAGCCGAGCGATCGATAAAAAATATAAATGAAAACTCGGGAAAAGAAAGCGTCGTGTTCGCGACGGAAAGCAAGGTGTCTCACGCAGGAAGCTTAGGAAATAATTTCGTGTCATTGTGTCGGAGACGGATGCGCGAACAGGGGATGAAGAAAGAAACGATAATAAATGACTAGCAGCGAAGATGAACGCATGATTTACATGAGAAGATTGATGAACAGGGTAGGGAAGGGGATGTTTGGCCAGTTTGCTTTCCAGCCCTTTTTCTCGCATATTTTAATCTTCGAATCTCGGGAGTATTATTTTTTTTATTGTTCGATAAAAAGCCGAGCCACCGAAGAGACGGCGAGGATTAGAATCGGAACGAGTCTTCAAATAATTAATGAACGTGGTGTGCCAGTTTCATCGACGAAGGAATAATGAATTCTTAAACGAATCCTCCGGTAGAATACATTATCATATTTAGGTTCGAAACGTTCGAGTTGCAATATCGTAAGCGGCTCGTTCCTCAAGTGACCCATGAAAATCGTAGAAATCCGGAATAAGAGAGTCCTGGACGAGAAAGGAACTTCCTCCGTTGGTGGGGAACATGAAACGATCTTTCCGGACGACCGGATTCTCTGCGAGGAGTCTTCCCCTCTAAAGTCTCTCTTTTTGACTTTCTCTCTTCGCCACCTATTGTGCCCGGATCGTGAAAAGTCAAAACTTACCGTTGGATCCATAGTTGTGGAAATTTATCCGTTGTAAACGTTCGGTCGAATAGCGAAGGATGACCTTTAGTGATCCGTAAGAAATCCTATATTTCACGATTAAACCGATAATTACTGCTAACTTAGATAACGCGTTACGTAAAGCGTGACAGGAGGAAGGAACTCGGTAAAAAAACGGAGACATTCGTTACAGTGACAGGGTTCAAGGGTACAAAACGTTTTGGTATCCCGTACAAGAAGTACGGTGCAAACACGGCCGAGCAAAAAACGCTCCCTCATAAGCGTTCCTAACGGGTTCGCCATGTAATTACTACTAACGAACCGTTTGTTTCGCCCGACGAGACATACCGCCAGGTACGTCTCGAGTCCTCGGGAACCCGACGTAAAAGCACCGAGTTGCGCACTTTCCTCGAAAACAGAATCTCTTGTAACTAATTCGCGATATCGATGTTTCCGCAAATTAACTCCGTTAAAGTGTGAAAGAAAGGTAAGAATTTTAATCCCCGATTACAGTCATCGAATGGTTAATATTACGTAACTAACAACGTAATTCCTTGTGGTTTATTTGGTGCGCGTTCGAACGATTTGTTTGTTAAAAGAGTACGTTTAAATTTCATGTGCGCGGTAGCACGCAATAACGGTGACCGTTTTTCCATCAGCGTCGTTTTATCTTCCACGGACTCGACTCGCATGACGACTGTCAATGCACACGATTCCCACCTCCGCTTCCTGGTTCCTCGCGGAGCTTCCGGTCTCGTGACAGGCCGTCCTGGTCCACCGCTCGTTCCGTCCCAACATTACAGGTTTGTCACTTTCACGTCGCGTTTCACCTCCACGAGATTTCCTTCCTCGTGAACTACCGACCACCGTACTTACTGGCATTTCATATGTAACGATAGTCTCGTGTACCGTTATGGTAGACATTCGTGCATAAAAATATTATTAATTGCTCGTATATCCTCGATATTTAATGGACAAATTTTTTGCCCTTAATCCGTTTAGAAATTTGAAAAAAAATTGAAAGTCTCGTCGCGAGATAGATTCATTCTACCGGAAGCTTTTTTCTCATTCAAATTTTGGTCCGCCGGGATAAAAGGCTTCGCGGCAATGCATAAAAAAGAGATAAGGATGTAAGGCTGCGTGGAAAATCGAGGGTGTTCCCGTTGATGATCCCGGTGAATAAATAATTCATGGTGTTTGCAAGGACACGACCGTGGAGGAAGGAAAAAAGCGTGACGCTCAAGGTGGGCTGCTACCCTGTTTGACCAGGATGACGTTCCAGGACTGACAGGAGGCAAAAGAGCGTGAAGAAACGAGGTGAAAAATGGACGACTGTTAAAGCAGGATTTTCGATGTTGACCGAGGCAACGGAAAAACGGGGTTCCTGTCGGAGGTGCGGAAGTAAAAGGAACCGCTTATTTCATTTTTCAACCGTGATCTTCGTGGGATCTTTGCGCGTCTCTCGCATCGGTTATCTCGGCGATTGATCGATCAGCAAATTGTTAAATGCAATTCATGAGGGATTCACGGAGCATGAAGATACGCTTCCTAGTTCCTCTCGGGTATAAAAACTTAGAATTTTTAATACGTTAGGTAGACACGATTTCCGAAGACGCGGGAACGGAGTTAAGATTTGAACGGTAGTCGGTAGCGAAGCGTTTCGCAGGGAACGAGCTAACGGTATCGATTTCAAGGTAGGTGGAACGAAAGAGTCACCCGGTATACGTGACAGTCGTGCGTTATCCTAGGATCTGAGAAAATAAACGGTTTCCTGAGTGAAACGTGCCATTGCGGTGCGGGCCAGCCACACACGGACGGACAAAACACGCGACGACGAACAACGTTAAGCTTCTTCCACGCAGAACCGATGTCTTCATAAATATTCATTCGTTTTCAAAATTCGTGAACGGATAAAGGGATTCACGTTGGATGAACATCGCGATGAAAGAAAATTCTGTTTCATTCGGTATTTCTTTTTGCTTCCGCGCGATCCCTCTTTCGCAATTTATTAGATACGTTTCGTTGCTCAGTTTTTTCGAGAACAGAAGCTTCGGTTGCTCGATAATGCAAGAACACGATCGAGAATTGACCGACGAATTTTTCGGTTCGTCCTAGATAAATAAGGCCACTCTCGTCGAAGAACTTTCGGATCGACAGGATGCGGGTCCTAAAGAGAATCGTTTTATTTATGAGGCGTTCACACGGACGAACGTCCACGACTTCTCGGACGTAATGGACCGTGAGAGAAAGAAACAGGACGGTGTCCCTCCTTCAGGATTCTTCGATTTTGAACACGTTTCTAGTCACCGAACGAGAGTGTACACTTTCTCGGTCGGTAGACTCCCAAAAACGAGTGTTCTCGAGCAGAAAATACGATTTACACGGCAAACAGATGTTTCGTTTGGTCCCAAACTAACCAGTCCGTTGGCTTCGAATGTACGAATGCAATTTCACCTGGACGCGCGTAACCGTTGTTTGCAATTAACGCGATACGTTGGCGCCTAAAAAATTAATTCCACGCTTGTCCCAACCGGGTGTAATTATGATTCACGCGTTTCGTAATTCCCTTCGTGGAAAATCTCACGAGGTGGCTACCGTTGTAATTGTCTACGACCGACCCTGAAAAGAATAGCGCGTGATTCACCGTTGCAAAAATGCTTCGAAACAAACGATTCGGAACCGGCACTCTAAACATTTTTTCGTGGTACATAGCGTTCGTCTATGTATAAAAGCGAACGTGTATCCTCAGAACGCTATAACCCTACATCCAGATCCCCAAAGTCCTTTATCCTATCTCTAAATCTACCCGTTGCAACGGTATTCTTTGACAGCAATTAAAGTGTAATTGTTACGTTATAACTCGTGTCGCTTAGATGAATAATTTCAAATTGTCACGTATATCACGATCGACTAGTGTTCGCATGTCACCGACACGCTGCATATTTTGCGCCGAATAATTTATGCAAGCGTCGCGTGCCGATTTCCACAGGTACAAGGATCGACGAACCGCGAAGAACGGGTACAAAGAATTTATGTTGCGATTTTTAATTGGCACTTTCTCGACCGACTGGAAACTGGTCTCTCCGTTCGGACGTGTTAAGGACATCAACCCGAATTGGGACCACAACGGGAATACAATTTCGATTCCTGCAAATTTATTTCGATAATCTCTCTCGCTATTCTCGACAATACCAAATTCCGGAACAAATTCGACTCGGAGAAACTAAACCACGATGTTCGGTTTATTCGAGTGCAATATCTGCGAACAGTTACGCAATTTCGGGACGGTTGCATAATTCCGAGCAATTCGCTTATCAGAGAGAATAATCTAACCGAGAATGCATTAACCCACTAATTCCCAGAGGTTGCAAGTTTTAGCAAACCTTGCGAATAAGGTAAATAAAATTTAATACGTAGTAAAAGGAATTTAGTTGGTTAATTATGAAACTAAGGAAGAGTTTTGAGCGATGTAGCGTTAAAAAAGGTTGCCATTGAAGGTGTCGTAGCGAATGCTATGTTTAGCACGGTTGGATCGATGCGAATATAGAAACGATCGCAGGGTATTCGAACACCATCAGCTGGTTTCCGTGGAAACCAGGT